TCGCAAGTATTAATAATGTTTTAGCAATAAACATAATGTTAATACAAAAATATCAAATTGTAAGTTAAATGGTTCATCTAAATCTGGTAAGTTTACACTTAATCAAATAAGTTTTTAATATTTCTGCTTTCAATATTTAAGTGAAGGAAAAGTTTTTTTCCCTTATTATTACTATTACTAATGACAAGATTAACTGAGTTTCATAAAATAGTTTCTGTGTGTAAAATCACAAAATCATTGTAATCATACTATGGAAATATTTTGAAGTCATCTATTTATAATAAAATAATAAATTAATTTGTCACAGCTTGTTAAACTTAACTTAAAATCTGTTCTGAAGTAAATTAGATATTCAATAATGAAATGTCAAATCTCAAAATACAAAATTGGGAATTGCGTTTTGGTCGATAATAACCTAAATTACAAAATGTGTTTCAATAAATAAATTTGTAAAAATCCTGCACTTGGTTGGAATTAAGAATTTTTATTAAGATATTGGTTACATTAAAACTCACAAAGTTATAAAAAGATCCATAACTCAAGTCTAGGTAACTATGGTATGGTGTTAATGGATTAAACTTTTTCGTCAATGATAAAAATAATTGTTATTGTAGCATGATAACTATGTAGTATAAGTATATATGTAATAAATTATTAAGTTGCGCTTATGTTTATTTTTATTTGATTAAAGTTAAAATTGATGCAAGCGTTAAAAAATAAAATAACGTTACAAATTGAAGCAGAAATTTATAACGAATCATGTTGACAATTGGATATGAAACGCAGAAAAGCATCATTGTCGATTAGTTATGATTCAAATCATTGTATAATAATTATTTTAAAAACATAAAAAAAACTTTAAATAATTAAGAAGACGGTGTCTAAAAGGAAATTATAGGGACTTCAATATAGGATTGGCTAAAGAAAATCCATAACAATACCATGCGCGACCCAGTTGGTTAACGGTGTAATAAGGGCTTACCGTTGTTTTGCCAGTTCTTGTCCTGCACTGGCTAGCCGCTGTTTTATCATCACTGGCTAGCCACGGCTGGTCCATGAAAATACCTTAGAGTAAAACGGAGCTTTGTCAACTTCGGCAGCCGTAGCAAGTCCAGCGCGGCAGCCTACACAGGACCAGTGCAGGACCATTATATCCTTGCTGTCTGGGAAATTAGGTTAAATGTAGCAGGCTGCAAAAGTATGCTATACCAATGAAAGTTTCTAATAAACTAAAAGATAACTTAGAGCAAGACACTGAAAAAGGAAAATATAAAATCGAGAGATTGATTGTTTTTTTCTTGTTGAAAATTCTTACAAAAACAGTTTATAAAACAATTATTTAGTTACAGAAGAAGTTTTGGTTTGTGGCAGAAAATTAAGTATAGATGATATAGAGCAGATATGCTCGAGAATCATAAGTAATCATAATAAAGAATCATAAGGCTTTTACAAAATTAAAGATTGATCAAGAGTATTTAGCTTTAAGCAGGGAAAAAAAAGTAAATGGTTTGAAAAGAATTGATGAGTTTAATAATGACTATATCAATGTGAGTGCTTTACACATGAGAGAAATATTTAAAAAACTTGAGCATACCAGACATTTAATGTTTTGGCACGATGGATCTTTTTTATCCAGCCATGGACATATATTGATGTTGATATCAATAATGCATGACCAAGCAATATTTTTAATAATGATGAGTATTACAAAAAGTATGAAAAAAAAAATTAATATTTAAGCAAAAGTAAAAAAACCATTTTTATACATAATAGCATGGTGTCTTTCAAATAATAAACGAATTGAGTACACAGATTTGCGAGTTCATAATATAATCTCTCTGAAATACCCCAAAATTGTATAAAATGGCATAAAAATTTTAATACTTTATTCTTTAACGGTGACCACCCGCCTTCACAGTTTGAATCGGGGAAAAATAAAGGTGAATATTTTTCTGTGGAATGGATGTAGTCTTTTTGCTCCAAAAGCTAAAAATTATTTACATTCATTTTAATGTAAGACATTGAGTTTAAAACAAAGAAAAAATATTTAAAACAAACTTACCAAAAGATAACTTTAAACAAGGAAAGATTTATATAAGATCTTATCTAAAAGTGACATTATCACAGAACTTAATGGCAAAAATTTACACTTAACAGTAACTTCAAATGAAAAAAATAAATAAAATGAATGAAGAAAATTAATAAAAGTCAATCAATTCATTTGATGGAGCTGGTATATATCTAGAAAAAAAAATATGTTTTTTATGGTCAACTACATATTGCATGTTCAAGAACATTTAATATGTAGTTGAACTTCTTGAAAAGAAGCATTTAATAATTTGTATTTAAAATTAATAAACATGCATCCAAACTCAAGTATTTTTAATACTTTTGCTTTTTGAAACAGATTTTATAGTTGACTTTTAAATAAATATTTGCTACTACTCTAATATTATAAAGGGTTACGAAAAACTTTTTTTTTTTAAATATACATATATAA